ATTAGTTACATAGGAAACTCGTTGCTCATCTGTCGTAGGATTACTATATCAGAAGCGCTAGTTATTTTCTGGGTTCTAAAATGAGTAGATATCGCGTTGCTCAGATGTATGCTGTACTTACGCCAATCGTATAAATTAACTATGAAAGCCCCGTCAGTAGAGCTCAATCATCCAGTGATATTGCCATATATCTATGCTTATGAATGGCATTTCGTATTTATTTCGAATATTATGCCATTAAACCTCTACTAAATAGGCGAAGAGAATAGTACATCCAGGTTGAATACGCATAGCGATAGCTTTATCAGTAACCGAAGAACGAAGGAAGAAGGTGACGAAAAAGTGTTGCGTTCAGGAATGGGTAATCGCACCGGAAGGCTACTCAACAAACTTCTGTGCTGGCGCCTGCTCTAGCGACTCCCCCATGCATAGCAAGATGAACGCAACGAATCATGCCATTGTTCAGACTTTGGTTGGTTATTCTTAGTTAAGCTTGAATGCTGAACTTGTATGTTGCCTATATTTAGGTCCACCTAGTAGACCCAAAACGTGCAGAAGAGGCAAAATGTGCGCCTATACAGTTGTCACCGACAAAAATTCTTTTCATCGACAACCACGGGAATGTTGTCATGAGAAGGTACCAAGACATGACCGTGCAGGAATGTGGATGCTTGTGAAGCCGACGTGCATTGCAAGTTACCCTTATTTAGCCTTCAGTTTTACTGTCTTGCAGTTGTCGCGTGCAGAATTGCCTCAAGCATTACGCTTGAAGGAGAGTTCGATGCAAAATTAGAAATCGATTCCTGGAGAATAAAAAAAAGTTAGAGGTTTAGAGTTACTATATATTTAGCGTCTTACCTTGTTGTTTTCGATCCAGTTGCTCTCGCAGGTGCCCGTAAAGTCTCCTGTTCTGGCTAGCAGTAGTTTCTTATTGAATTCTCTGCGCTTGGCGTTTTTTTTTCTTACTTCACGAAAAAATCAACCATCGGACTTGCCAGTATGTTCATGTGCAAAAGCTCCGAAAAATCCGGTTGGTTGTCAGTTTGCTCCGATTGATATCGCTTAAAATGCCGAGCCACTTGATTTCGAACAAGTCGGTACCTCAGCAGGGTATCACACCATTACCGTATCCAGAATGGCCGTAAATTCGAATCAATCGAACCTTTCAACTTCAACTCCGAAGTCAAAAAAAAAACATCGCAGCCCTCGCAGGAGGAGAAGAGACTCGATTTCGTCAAATGTTTTGCCTACATGCTCCATTTTGGCACAACTTGAAGTCAAAAATGGAATTAAAGCTTTCATTGAAGAAAAGCAAAAGTTCTAGCGTTTATGAGAAGCAAGCCAGCAGAGCCGCTGAGTCCAGTTTTCTCGGCGCTTTCGGCGTATTCAGTTGCCATTCAACGTTCCATGGGATATTGAACCTATTCCCTGGTTGCCATTACAATAGTTTAATAATAGCTTACCAGTGTAATATATACATATACTATCCGGATCATATAATACCTTAGTGGAGTGTAATCAGATAATAGTTTTGACGACAAATGGCGAGCAGCTCCCCAGGTGTTCGCTTTTTCATAGAAGACATAACTTAAGTGCAACTCCTAAGCGTGTTTTCCCTGCAGTGTGACATTTTCGTTCACTTGCTTAATAGGTATCAATTCTGCATCAATTGGTAATCAGCGCATAACATGTCTTCAAGTGAGGCTTCCTCTATTTTTATTTTTGTCGGGACTTATGAAGTACCAAGAAGCAACTTCAAATAGGTGTACGTTCTGTGCCAACTTGTGCATGCATTTTCCACTGGTGCTTTTCTGTTTCGAGATTGATGATTATTTCGCTTAGCAGTAGGTAGCTATTGTTATACGGTTTCTGAAACCGAGTAGTTTTTTTTTGTTTTTTTTTTTTACTTTCCGGTTTTAGCTGTGCAATTTAGTCTCGATATTCGCAATGTCATAGAAGATAGTCTCGGTGCTTACTGATCTGCATTTGGTTTGGTTCACTGTTCCATTTGGTTGCATTTAGTCCATGTAAGTTGTTGAAATCCACAATAAAAGCTCATCGGTGCTTATTTGATCTGCATTTGTTCCAAGTGATTGTTCCATTTGGTTGTATTTAGTCCAAGTAACTCGTTGAAATCCACAGTAAAAGTTCAGCTCAGCAGTAAAGGCTTACAGCAGTTTTTATGAAACTTGTACTTGTTAGCCTCGTTTGGTCATAAAGCAAGAAGGAATTCCTGATCAGGGAAGGTCAGGAGGTCAGTCCGACGTTTCACATGTAATGCACTCTGGTCTACGCGTCTCAGGATGCAGAGTTCAAATCTGCTAAACGATTCCGTGAAGGGAGTTACGATGGGAGTTCCCGTGGTATTATGACCAAGTGGTTAGAGGAGTTGATTTGCAGAATCGATGGCAGGATAACTGATCCCTGCAATTTTATTCTGTGCTTTCTTGGGATTCGCCAACTGTAGATCCATCATAGCCGTTTCATTATTGCCCAATCGTTGTTGGTTTTTGGTGACTTTGTGTGCGCACCACTCACGCTATTCTTCCTTGACTTTTTTCCTGCCCTTGTGTAACGTTACCTGAAATTAACATCAGCGCAATACTTGGAAATTAGGCAGCGTTTATACTTCGTGCTTCTTTTTTTCGTTGTTCGAAAGCGTTCATACTTCGCGACAACAGCGGCGATCGTAGCGATCGTCGGATTAGGGTTTCGGTTCCTGGGTGATTTTCTGTTCCTTTTTTTTTCGTTGTTCGAATTCGACTTGTAAACTACAAATATGCAGGAAACTGGAAACTTTCGAAACACATAAATTGAAACAATGAAAGCAGAAAAAAAACGAAAAGAAGCTCATCTAAGAAATAAAGTTGCCTTTATGCCGACCTCAAAAAGAAAGGTGAAACACATATTCCAGACCCTCTCAGGTACAGAAAGTCACAAGTTTTCATTTGGTAGCCGTTATTAAAACAAAAAAGGTCTCACAAGTTGGACTTTCCCATATTCAAAGCGTCCAAGTAATAGCGTTGGGGCGCGCTCTGACGCGCACCGACGATCCCGGCGACCGATACGATCACCGCGATCGCCGATGTTGTCGCGAAGTATGAACGCTACCTTAGTCTATAGAAGATTCTAAATTGGAATGGAACGGCTCGCGAAGTCAGAAAATTTGAAAGAGTCAGAAAATATTCTAACTTGCTTCATTAAATAAGCAAATAGTTAGAAAGCAACAAAACTCGGTCAGAATATACATCACAATGAACATGTTTGCTCTGTAATCTAATTAACCTGAAAAACGAAAGCGATTCAATGAGAATGAGCTATTGAGTATCAAAAATGGCAGGGGATAAATGTAGTAACATATAGTTTATAACAATGCAATCAGACGGGATAGAGGCAGGGGGGATGAGCTTGCTTATGGCTGTTTGCTCTGCTGATATTGATCGGTTGGGCCCAGGGCACATCGTTGTTGGGGAACCCCCAATAGGGAGGGGGTTGTATTTGGCCGCCAGGAGATGGGGGTCGAATCCGGGTTCAGAAAAATTTGCTTTCTCGCTTCACGGACATTGTTAGGGGAGGGGGGTCGTACTTACTTTTTGGCCTTCCAGGAGTGGTGACTTTTTGGTGACTTTTCGTGATTTTCCTGTTTCATGCGTGCCGTATACCCCCCCCCCCTCCCGCCTCCCGCTCGACAGCAAAATTTTTGGGAAAAAGTAGGGAAGTTCTCGGGAAATTTTGGAAAAAGTGGCAGGAAGTTGGGAAAAATCTGAGAATTGGTGGAAGAAGGTGGGGTCGTACTTGTCTCACGGCTTTTCCTGTTTCACATGTGCTATTGCCAAAGTGCCAAAATCCCCAATCAATGATGTGGGCTGGTTGGGCCGATTTAGGAAGAACACTATTGGTGAAAACGCAGCAGGTTAACCCATTCGACCCTTGTTGGAATCTCTCCGTCTGATTGCGATGTTACAAACTGTACATTCACCATTAATAATACATGATATTGTAAGGTCACTTCAGAGAAATCTTGTAGATACAGTATTCTTAGATCAGTAGTCATCGTTGGGAAAACAACTCTAAAATAGAGAAAAAGTGGAAAGGCTATGGTAATATGACAACGGATTATTTCATTTCATCAGGCGTTTTATTACGTTTCCAAACCGGCAACGTTATTAGTACTAATACGGAGGCTCCGTAGAGCACAAGTGAAATGATTATGAAGTTGAAGACGTACTGGAACTTGTCACATACGAGTGGAGCATCATGGCTGCAATAATGAAGGGTTTCTTGTAGATGGTCAATATGTGTTGTGCATCGACAAGAAAGGCTTTTCCCGGCTCATTGTTCTTGTTTTGGAAAAACTAAATATGCCGGTGTACTGCTATAAGACACCGCTGCCTTCACTGGAATGTGGCTCAGGCCTCCCTGACCACCATCTGTAACCTTTCAAGACTGAAGGGATCAAAGATGTTTAGCGTACCTTGGCGGACAAGTGAATATCGAATTGTATTGAATGTATCCGATCGTTGCTTGCACAATAGAAGCTGTGAATGAGACCGATCCCACGACTTGGTGAACAGGCAGGAAATCTCTCCGTAGATTATCGCTGGTACCCGGCACAAGGAAGTTAACGAAACCGAAGAGGAACTGAAAAAGTAATTTAGGTATTGATGATCAGAGGCACTTCTCTTCTCCTCAGCTTGATCGACGAATTTTTTTGGGTGAGGTTAGTGTTGAGCTCGTCGAAGGAGCACCACAGATATATCTGTACAGCAATACAAGCATAAATAATTGAAAAAATTTCACACTCATAATGGTTTTCTGAACAGGAGCTGTCAACAAGTTATCTGGTGTCGGTCGGGAGATCCACTTTGCGGCGACGCAGGCTTTCCAAGTCACGCCACTGCATTCAAGACCATAATGGAATTTTTCTAATCAACGTAGAAGTGCTTCAAAACATCGACAGAACTAGTTGCAAATAAAGGTTCGCAGTGCGCGTCGCTGCTGTGGACCTTCTGACTGACATCACAACATTTCGAATATCTTCATGTTGCGGGATCAGCCTGTTCCAGTTTAGGCCAAAAGCTAATTGTGCATTCTCCTTCGAAGGCGATCCTTGCTGTGCAAGGCGAATGGGTCCGCAGCTGCAGTAGTGTGCCACTATCTTTTCTCCAGAAAGGACGGGAACGGGGCTGGGTGTAGTGATACCTGAGTGCCACCGCGATACCGAAATCTCGCAGCGAACACGCAGTCGGAAGCAGAGAGCACCCAAACGTGAGCGCGCGCAGACAAGTAGCGCGCTTGCCTCGGGTCAGGCGTGTGGCTGGCCGTGCCACAGCATAACCGGAGTAGAAAGGCACTAGAGAATAACTGTTTTGCAGCTTCGTCCTAGTGTACCTTTGAGTTGAGAGAGTGACGCGCTTCTACAGCTGCGGACCAATTCACTCGACCATGGTAAGGACCAGGATCCAGGGTGGCGAGTGTGTAGTCTGCCTGCGGAATGAGACACAAAAAATTCTTACACTTCTACCAAATGAGAAAAAAAGTAGTTGGTATTTTGGTGGTTAATCTCTAGATGGATTTAGCTGTTCAGATATGCAAAATGTTTTCATTAGAAATGTTGTGTGACTTCTATGGCACGCCATCGCGTTGTGATCATTTCCTGAAAAATACGGTCCCCTAATTCAATCCCCAAATACGACTCCCCTCCCTCGGAGTCGAATACGACCCCCCCCGTTGTGATCATCACAACGATGGCGTGCCCTGCGTACCACACATGTGGATGAATCCATTTGAGGTTGTTGTAGTGAATCTGGATTGAGACTGCTAAAAAGGCGTAGAGAATAGAATTCGTGATGCCCCGATTTGTAGTTACCAT